GAGGAGAGTTGGAGTTCATAATTCCCACTGATGAATCTTTGCTATTTCATATTTTCCTCCTGTCCCCCATGGTGTTAGTACCAAAGTTGACGAGATGAAAATAATGGATATGAAGTTAATTTGATGGGGGCAAGGTAGGGTCATTACGGTAATGCCTTGGTTTGCGAGCATAATTTGTTCCAGAAACAAACTACTTGTATTGCAAGGCATTGCTTGTTTACCAAGTTAAAATGTATTAGAAATGTTTGCTCGTCTTGCGGAACACTCACAAACCAAGTTACTCGCAATCCAAGGTTTTACTGTATTAGGATATGGGAGGAGTGGTTGATGAAGAGAAGGTAATTTGTTATTTTAGGACCAGGGATTAAATTTTTTAGTCTGATCCAGAGCTGATATGACTCTCTGTACAGAATAAGAAATATACTTTTCCCTTCCAGCAGCAACGTTGAGAGAATCCCACAAAAATAGAACTGTAGGATATAAAACCATCCCCAAGTGAGGTTTCCCACACAGTCCTCTCTCGGGGTGATACATCTCATTGGTGGCTGCTTGCCACGGCTTACTATGGTTTGTGAATGCCAAAGACTTTATGGCTTATTTTTGTATTTCTGAACATATAGAGAGATAGAGATATGCAGTCTGGTTCCACGCTCACAAACATTTGTCTGGAATTTGTATGCTTTCTGAAAGTTCAGGATGATTTAGGAGTCTGAGAAGTCAGAGAACTTTTCAAGCTTATTTGGCTTTTGAACTTTCTGCATATCCATTTCCTGTTCATTAGGGTGGATGCCAGCTGTCATAAAGCTAGGATACTTTATCTGGGATCAGAAAAATGAAACCTGGGAAACCAGCGAATCAGTGGCAAGGCTGTCTCTTCTCTCTGTTTGGTAACATGACTAGGATATACCCCTTAGTTGTCTTTCAAAGTCTGGCAAGGTGGTGTTCTAGGTAAGAGAGTAAAGTTGTCAGGTCTGTGATAATAAATTGCAAAATAGAAAATCATTCAACAAATATTTGAGTGCTGTGGGGAAGCATTAACGTGTGAAGCCTGAATTCTACCCTGTTATGGGTTTTCTAGTAGGTCAGATTGGGCATACACGTAAAATGAAAAAGTAATTCAAGGAAAGGAGTGATATATGTAATAAAAGGTACAAGTAAGGTAGTCTGAGAGTTCAGGAAAAAAAAAAAAGAGCATTTCACTTCCAATTAACAAGGTCACCTAGGAGCTCAGAAGAAAACTGTCCATTCTAATCAAAGGGAAAGTTATGTGGGATGATTATCTTAGGAAGCTGTTCATATTTGATTGAGCCCTGTGAAGTTGCTGGGGTTTTTGTGTAGGTCAAAATCAGTCGAATTTGGGCAATTTTGTATGATTCAACCTAACAGGATGCCATTTGGTATCTATGGGCTTCATGATTGTGGGGTGGGAAGGTTTCCTTTGGATGAGGTGAATAAGGAGATATTTCTAGCCAAGCCTGAAATAAAAAGGAATATAAAATATGAGGCCGACATAAACAATTGGGAGCAATATATGCTTGGAGTGGAGGTTGGAAGATGGCTTTGTTTTTTGACAAGTCTGAAATATCGCTGTGAATTAACTATGTGTGAGGTCAGGAAATAATCTACCTTCTTTGTGGCCCTCAGCTACACGGTGGAGTCCTGCGGATATTTCCAGAAGGGAAATCATTCGTAGCAGACGTGGAGCCCATTTTTGACAGACTCTTGTTCTTCTGGTCAGACCGCAGGAACCCACATGAAGTCCAGCCTTCCTATGCCACCAGGTAACAGCCACAGCCATGATTCCTCTTGAGAAGCTTCTCGTGCAAACCCCAGTTCCCAGAGAATTCTCTAAACTTGTGTCCTGTGCATGTGAGGGAGCATCCACACCCCAAAGCTGGTAGCAAACCCGTTTGGAGTTAAAAATTAAAGGGGACACTTTGGATTCTTTAGTATATAAAACCTAACATCATTTTGAACTATTAACAAATTGTTTTCCGTTAGGTGAGCATGTTGGCTTCCAAATGTGCCAGAGTGGTTTTCCCTTCTCTCCTTTCATCCGCTTCCCTCCTTTTAAAAACCTAATGTTAAGCTACTCCTGGAGAACACTGGCTACCCCATATCAGGAATTCTGTCTGGTTATCTCTGGATGAGTTTATGAGTGGCCGGTGGCAAGCAGAGAAAATACCTTGAGCAAAGAAAGAGGAATTTGTTCTGACTTCTATTCCTTTTACCCTTTCCTTAGCATGAAATTGGTTTGGGCTCGCTGTACCGACCATATTCCAACAATTGAATTTTAAAAAATCCTTTCTGTAGATCATGCATGGGAAGATTTTTCAGAGTAACTGAACAATTTAGTGTTGTTTAGTATTAATCTAGAAACTCTTGATATAATCTTAATTTCAGATTCTGCCTCTCATTAGCCTTTGTTTTATGGCCAAAGCTATAAACTAGGCAGTGCTGGAGTGCCGTGGGGTGCAGCTTGAATTGGGGGCAGGGGGTGAGAACTTGGGTAGGCGGATAATGACTAAACCTTAACCAGCCTAATTAAATTAAAATCACATGTGTAAAGTGCTTAAGCTATATAAGGATCCCCTTCCAGAAATCACAGATCTGAACCCCACACAGAGTTGCATATTAGATGTCATATTGGACTGTGCCCTAGGTGACCAGTTAACTAATTCTACCACCAAAGCCTGCTTGTGGCTTGTTTAATGGGGCTCAATGATTGGACACTGTCATTTGTGCCAGAATTCCCTTGTTATTCCCAGTCCTACGATGACCGGAGTCACGGGAAATATAACAAATGTTGATGGGAAGCTCTTGCAAAGACAAACCAAGTGCTATAGAAATTCTAGTAGCTAATAATAATTATAAAATGAAACTTTTTAGAAACTCAGGCATGAAAGGATTTTTATTCAGCCTAGCCCAGGGCTTGGCAAACTTTTGAGATAGAAGAGCCAATCCTGTCCTTCACAACAATTTAAAAATTATTCGCAGTCATAAATATATTTTTACATAATCACCATTATGTGAATAATATCCTTTAAAAATTTTATAAATGAAACTATGGTAGTTTTATCTTCATTTTCAATTTTACTTCAGAGCCACATGTANATATATATATATATATATATATATATATATATATATATATAATAAATGAGACATCTTCCTGATCAGTGTCAGCGTCGCGGCTTGGTATATTTGTCACATGATAATTAAAGTACTTGTTCTGAAGCAGCCTCCTTCTTTATACACTCTAAATCCTTTCCTGGGCTTGATGAGGCTTAGATAGCAACTCCATTGACCCGATGAGTTTCCGGGGTTTGTTTCTGCCCCGTGCACAAATTGGCACAAAAATGAGTGACTAGTTATTGACGGTGATCCTTGTTTCTGAGTACATCCTTAGCCGCCTGGTTTCAGAGTGTGCCAAAGACCAGCACATAGTTGGGAATGTGCCCAAGCCGAGACCCATCTCCTATGGCTTGTGTCCAGAGAACACTGATAAAATTGTCTGTATGTAGCTTTAAAAGGCCCACTGAGGCTGACGATGATTTCCTTCCATTGTTTCAAACCTGATGCGGTGGCTTCAGCAACCAGGAGAGAGGGTGAAGATTCACTCTGGCCAGAGAAATTCTCTCTTGTTCCTTTCCCTTAAGCAGCCAGATAGTTTGCTGACACTTAAGAGGTTTTATCCAAAAATAAAATAAAATAAAATAAAATAAATACCCTGGAATGTGCTAGCTCTTGCTCTGTGTATGTTTTATAGATGCGGCAGTTCGTCAAGGATGTACTTTGGTGAGTTTGTATCTATTTTTTTAATATTTTAGTCTAAGTTGAGTCCTGAGGCAGACACAATACTTCATAATACCCTGAAGAACTTTTTGTTGCTTTTTCTGGGGTTGATGCTTAAATCGAGCCTTACGTCTTCTTGCCTGTCAGAGGCCATGTAAGGCAAGCCCCTCTTTATAGGAAAGAAAGTGAGCCTGTGATCACCTGGTTAGCTGCAGCATGAACTAGATGGCAGGCATCCAGACCACTGACCTTTTCCTGAGAGTTGAGCTGTTTAAGAATATAAGTTTATGTAGCATTATAGCTTTATCTTTTCAGGGCTTCACAGTGGGGAGAGGCTGAGATGGCAGGCAATCCAGCCTATAATTATTTGTGGCTTAAATGACTCATTATTGGCTCAGTGCTGGCTCTTATAATCCTAACAGCTGCTTCCAGGGATGGGTATTCCCCTAGTCATTCTAGGTGACTCCATGTATCTCTTCTTCCCCAGCCAGGCCCATCATTTCTGTCTGCTACCACTTTCCCCCAAGCCATTTTTTTTTGCTTGGTGGTACCATCAATTGTTAAATCTTGATTGCAGTAGCCTCACAATTCTACCTTCTGAAAGATGCTCAAGTAACAGCCTAAATTTAGCTCTCAGATGACATTGCATTGACATTTTAGATGTTCAAAGGCAGGGTGTGGGGACTGCTAGCTACTTGGGGATATAAAGTTTGATAGATATGGTGAATTAAGCTTTAGGATCATTATAAATCCAGGTTACCATTTGGCCTTATAATTGTTCTAGATATATATATATATATATATATATTTTAAGAAGTCAATATACAGTCTGTGTGAAGCCTTTAAAGCTACATGCCTGGTTGATATCTTCATGCTACCCCTGGGAGTGACTTGGCACCCACGGTACTGAAACTCATTCATTGAACTACACAAGTGCATTAGTTTGGGCCTGTACCAGACCGATCGCTTTACCAATGAAACAATCCTGCCATTTATAAGGGAAAATACGAACTAGATTATTGCTACATGTATATTTGAAGATAGGTTTTTAAAATGACAGAAGTCTCTATTGATTTAGATAGAATGTAAACTTACTCTTTAGAGGAAAGCGTCATTCACTAATTCATTCATTTATTTATATCGCAGTTTAAACAGACACCTTCTATGTGTCAGGCGCTGTCCTGGGCACTAAGCATACATCAGTGACCAAAACAGGAAAAATATCCCTTTCCTCATCTTGTGTTGCCAGTTCCATTCAATATCTTCCCTGCATATACCTCATCCCTATAAAAATATTTTCGAATTATGGCAATGAAAAGAACTAGCTTTTTGTACTTGGCCTACATGTTTTTCTACTCCTTGCTGTAATTTTTCCATGGAACAATTAGAGGTTTGTTACCCTCTTAATAATAATTCTCTAATAGTAATTTTTAGTAGGATTTTTAGTATGGCTTTCTGCTTTATTTCTCCACCTGGTTGACACAGGTAGCACTTGGGCAAAGGAAGAGAACTTCAGGTTATCATCTGATGTGACTATCGTGACTAGGAAGAAGACAAGCATTGAGATACATATTAAGATGTGTCTGTGGCTTTTTCTATGAACCAGACCTGACTGTATTATCTATACAAACAAGCTCCCCATTACCCCTTCCCTCTTCCTTTTTTCCTAAGCATTTAATTGAGCAAGTATCACCTTTTTTTCCTTGGTGATCAGTTCCTGCCTCTTTGTAAATGCAAGTATCTTGACCGTTGTTCTAAGACAGCGGGTAATTTGGTGATTCAGGAACACTTGCTGAACAGGCATAACCCCTAAACTCCATACATAGTGATTCTGATTTTGTGGGTCTAGGGTGGGAACCCAGAGCCTGCTTTTTCTAAAAGGAGGGTTGAAGAAAGGCAGGGTATCCTAAAGACAATGTAGATGGGTTTCTGTCTAAAATGTTCTACAACTGTGGGAATATTGTTGAACCACTTACTCCTAGGCTGAGTCATAAGTATGACTTGGTTATTAAATCTTATATACCAAAGAGTCCAAATTTATGTACTGTACATGCAATGAAGAAGAAGCTAGCAGCCACCTGGAAATGTCACATAGTACCCAAGGATGCTATGTTACTCAGCTGTTCACCAGTGGGAGAAGATTGTCTCAGCTTTGTTAACCAGCTTTTTTGGGATTTCTCCATAGGCAATGGTGGCATGCTACCCAGGAAATGGAACCGGCTATGTTCGACATGTAGACAACCCCAACGGTGACGGCCGCTGCATCACCTGCATCTACTATCTGAACAAGAATTGGGATTCCAAGGTACTTTGGAATAATGGGTATAGAGGTATAGAGTGTGGGTTTGGACATGAGAGGAAAA